CAAAACAGGGGGTCCTATGTGAGGGTGTCAATCCTTCACTCACAATGGTGCAAGTCAAGACTGTTTCCCAGCACACCAAAGTGGCCAAACCAAGGCGTATTGAATTTACCAAACCTTGTTGACTTTTCAGCTTGTAATGGACCAGCCTGACGGTGGACACAGGGAGCCATGCCGGAATGGACCAAGTAGGCGGTCCTAGAACACCCATCATCAGCCCCTAGAGAACTTGAGTCACAGAGCTACACCAGTTCAAACAGCTGCCATTCCAACAATCTCAATGAGCTAGCTCAAGGCAGGCTCGAGTCTGAGGGGTGGCCTCTAAGAAGGTGCTTGCTGCATCTTCCAGTCAGCCAGAGCACTTTTGCAATACAGCCAACCTGAGCACTTGCGTGGGATTTTGAAGCAGATTGGTCTGCTGCTCACCTGCTCAAGTCCAGACAGATCAACTGCGACCAGCTTCAAACCTTTTCGACCATGTAGACCTATAGCTAGACCTTTTGTTGCATGCACTTGTCCCCCTGGTTTTCCACTACAGACAGAGAACCACGAGCTGAACTCCAAATTGCAGGCCAAGTTTGACTGGCCATTTCAGGGTCCCTACTAGTCTTCTTGCACTTGGTCTGGGCATTGCCATGGTGCAGAAAACTGTTCTATACCCCCACACAGTGTCAGATCAGACAAAGCAGAGTAGAGATGTGACAAGGTGAAACCGCAATTGCTTTGCAACCAGCAGCAATTGAAAGCAATCTTTTGGACACCGTCTGATGAATGCTCAAGCGTGTTTGTGCTTTAACTGGGGTCTGAAGAACCCTGGAAAACAAGTCTTCTTTCTTCTTCCAGTCCTGCATGTAGCCCAAGAGATACGCCCACTTGAAAAGCCAGTGCAAAATCCAGAAAAACACTTCCCAGGCCAAGTCTGCAGCTCCAATGGCAGTCTGCGTACCTACTGCCTACACTAGCCCGGGTGTTCTTGTAGCTTTGGGAGGGACTAGCCTAAACCACAGACAAGATATGCAAAGCCTACTCTGAACGCAACCAGGTGTCCATCCCGACTTGCATTGAATCAGTTTGAGGCTGTCACTCGGCTGTGTGCAAACCAAGTAGTGCGCAGTAGTCAGCCATAAGTGGTGGTTGTACTCACGAGCGCTCACCTGACTTCTTCCGTGCACCTGTGGTGGACAGACGGCTCCGCCCCTAACCACTTACTCCAACAACTAACTCGAACTGATTCCTTCACACAGGCTACGGAACATGACGGAATGTGACAACTGGCCGTTTGCACTGTGGCAATCTTTACAGATCAAGCTCGGATTGACACCACTTGGGCATTCGGCAGAGAACAGGAGAGAAGCTCCAACTCCAAGTCTCAGCAAGAAGATTCTCCAACACAAAGCCTTACCAGGCAACGGGCGTAATGCTTGAGGCAGCAACTGTCACTTTGGGTCCAGCGCAATAGGGGAGAGCATCTGCATGAAGAAGTGTCAGTGAAGTTCAAAAAGACAGAGCGGGAAGGAGACTTAGAATGGGAAGTCGAGTGAGAGTGCTGAGAAGACGACCAAAGGGAGCTCTGCCTGGCAAGAGAGGTGCCAGAGAAAAGAAGAGAAGTGGGAGAGCTAAGCAAGTTGTCCGTCACTGACTCACTGAGACTCGAGCGCATCCACCAAGTTCCAACTCCTGCCGGATGTGCGTCGGCTGTGGAGGCACTGCTGTCACCTTGCATCTGGAACACTAGAGTGTCACTGCCTGCAATTGAAAAACAAGCTGTGATTTCATCCAAAAGGAAAGGAAGAGCGGTATGTCGGTTTTGCAGCCCTTTCGGGCGGATACCCCTAGAGCCTTACACGCCTGTTCGATTTCGCCCAGATTATGCTATAGCATAGAACACATACCAATCCACCAACACTACTGCACAGCTGGTGTGGATACGCCCAATAGACAATGCTGCGCTCGCTCAAAGTGAGATCCGCCGGTGCATCCGCCTGCTGCTCCGCCGCGCCGCTCAATCCGCCGGGCGGCCGCCTCTTGATCCGCCGTCCGCTGGAGGTGCGGTCCGCGGCTCGATCCGCCCATGTGCGCGCCCGTCAATTTGCCGTCCGCCGCTCGGTCCGCCGCTTGATCCGCCCGGTTCCGCCGTAATATCCGCCTTTTTGCCACGGTGGCCATCCCAGCATACTGGTGTACTCACACCGCATGCGCTCCGGTATATACTGTCTTCAAGCCACGCAGCTTTACTGCTGGATCCTGGAGTGTTCTACTCTGCCCGCAGCTTAAAAACAACCAGATAATGACCCGTCAGGGAGCGGACAAACTGCTTCTACGCCTGCGGGTGCTCGTTGCGAGCTCGGAGGAACAGCGCCATGCTAGATAGCCCTTGCTTTTGACGCTGCTCCAAAGATATAGCAATCCTCAGCTTGCCCAAAGCAGCAAAACAAGTGATGCGGGCTTCAGCGATATTGCCACCTCCGCGCAGGCAATGGTCTCCTCCTTTCCCGCGGTTAGAAACCCCTTCCAGCCAGAGACTCTCAGCAGAAGTGTGCTGTAGACAGCTCTGACCCTAAAGCAGCCAAAAGCGGCCGCGCTGTCTTGAGTCCAGGCCTTGCGCGTGAGGCGAATTCCTACCGTCGAGCGGTTGCAGATGCTGGGGCGGAGTGGCGCAGACAAGTGATCTACTTCGAACGTTTACAGCTAAGTGGGGATGGTGAGGGGGCGTACACATCTGCCAGGGCGTGTCAAGTGCTGAAAGAAGCCACGATACGGAGTGACAATGCGGACTTGGCCTTAACAAGTTTCTGCCGGACGCTTCAGGCAGAGAGCTGTTCAAGCAACTCCCGGTACCCGAATGAGTAAAGGGACCTAAGGGCATAAATCAGCGCTGGCTAGGACAGGCTGTAGCAGCCGTGTCGAGGCAGGCAAGTAAAAGTGGCGGTGGCAAGGGCGGATTGGCAGGCGGATTGGCGGGCGGACAGCGGATCGAATGTCGAGCTTGCAGGCGGTTCCGGCGGCGGATAGCCCCTCAAGCAGACGGCGGTTTGAGCGGCGCGGCGTGTCTACCGGCGGATGCAGTGGCGGATCAAAGTTTGAGCGTCCGTAGCGCATTCTACCGAGCTTCCGAGCAAGCTTTGAGCCGGTAGGACATATCTTCCAGCTCATATCAATCCCGGACCACAATCTTAAGCAAACTGAGCCGCAGAGCAAGCTGGCGCGAGGTGTCAAAGTGCGGCGGATGTCAGGCGGAAAGTCGTTCATCCCGAAGGAAGAGGACAACGAGCAAGAGGAAACTGAGTCTGAGCAAGCGAAGCTGGCAAGCAAAGGTTGACCCAGCAGTGATTGCTCAAACTTGTTAACAGCAACACCAATGTCCCCGGCTGGTAGAGGAGAACAGGAGTGTCTCTGAAGAAACCGAGTCTCGGTCAGAACCTATACCACTCAGTGGTTGTTGAGATGAGAAGGTCAGAACCTGTACCACACAGTGATTGTTGAGACCCAACAGTTTTTCTGCTATCCACCACCATGCAGTAGGCTTGCTTGGGTGGGCCCTACAACACATTTTTGGGTTTAAGAGCAGGTTCTTGCAGAAGCGGTCAGACAGTTGCCGTGTATGTATGTACAATGTGTTATCTGAACATCGACGGCCGCGTGGCCCAATGGCAAGGCGTTTGACTACGATTCGTCGTAAATCAAGAGATCCTGGGTTCGAGCCCCAGCGTGGTCATCTTTTTTATCGGGGCTCTTTGTTTTTTGGCAGCAACTGCTTGCGCTCCTGGGGGCTTAGCTCTCCCGCTCCTCTTGCTGCATACTACCACCAATGATTGCATCTGACTGACATGGCTTGGGACACCCTAGCTAGAAAGCTGGTCTGAATGAATTGACCTGCAATTGAATCAAGCGGCAAGCCTTTCATCCGAGACCAGCTGGACTGAAGTGCACAGAAGCTGCTTCAGGTACTGTTTACGGAGAGGGAGAAAGGCATAACGCTGGTTGAAGACTCTGCTGATTGTGATTACAGTTTTACAAAGCAAGGCCATTTATTAGTTAACATCCGTTGGTCATTCCAAGGCAATACAGACTACAGAGCCAAAAGCCAAGCTTGCTCACACTTATGCATACTTGTTCCTGTGAGGTTGTAGGCTGCGCAGCGAGTGCCCATGCTCCCTGTCGCGCCGGAGCAGCAGTCAACAGTATATAGTTGTAAAACAATGGCCCGTCTTCATGAAAGGCGCTTTAGCTCAGTTGGGAGAGCGACAGACTGAAGCTTCTTACACGAGCTGCACTTCTGCAGGTCTCCGGTTCAATCCCGGAAAGCGCCATTTCTTTTGCCCAGGTTCCACCCAGTCCCCTTGCTTTTTTTTCCTGCTTCCCTCCGAGTCCTGCCTGAAGCCCGGGTACCTGTATAATGCTCCGTAGAATGACACCGGAGGTCAGCAAGAACAATGTTGTATCCTGTGTTCTGGATGTCAGACCAGAGTGCTGCAGGTGCCAGGGTGCACCGGCACCACTCAAGACTCAAGCTCAATCCGAGAGACAGAGAGAGCCTGACAGTCTGGACTCAAGCTTTGGGTTTCAAGGAGATATGAACAAGAGCTGGGGAGTGCTAGAGAGAAAGGGAAGCTATGGCCAAGTCTGAGTGAGAAGATTCATGATCCGGGCAACGACATCTTGAAGCGGTGCCTGGCTGGCACTTTGTCACCTGCGCAGTTACTATCCAATAAGGAGTAGTGTCAGTGAAGTTCTCATTAGAACAAGGGAGGGGGGAGATTTAGAATGGTCAACCGTCAGTCGAATGAGACTCAAGAGCAAAGCTGAGACCAGTGAGACGGCCGCGCAATCATCGATGGTCAACCGAACTTCAAAGGGAACTTGGAAGCCAGGCTTAGCCAGCGCAGCAGAGAGAATCTGAGACCAGAGGAAGCGCAGTCATGTTTCTCCAGGCTGCGCTGCTTCCCGTAGATTTGGGGGGAAAAAGAATGCCACAGAGAACAGAAAGCGAAGCAAAAAATGTTTTCCCCATCCGGGAGTCGAACCCGGGCCGCCTCGGTGCATCGGGAAGAAGCATGAAAACGAGGTATCATAGCCGTTAGACTAATGAGGAGGCATGAGACAACGGCCCGGTTTGCCAAACAGGTCACAGTCTGTTTTGTTAAGCACAAAGGGTCTGCCTGTTGCCCCGACCAACTCTCGGCTCCCATTATACTCTACTGCCACGGTCCACCAGTCTCATCGCAACCAAAAGTATGAGTACAGACCACCAAAACTTCATCTGTCAACAAGAAAGCTCCCAAAGCAAAAGGTATTCCCCATCCGGGAGTCGAACCCGGGCCGCCTCGGTGCAGTAAATGCTTGAAAACGAGGTATCATAGCCGTTAGACTAATGAGGACTTCATACAAAAACGACTTTGAAAACTGCATTGATAAAAACACCCCAAACAGCCGTCGCAGTCGGGCTAGCACGTGAATCCGCAAAGACGACCTCATGACGCGAATCTTCCTCTCGCCCAACGCTTCTCCGACCCGACCCGATGCGGCGTGCTCTGCTCTTGGTCGACGTCCAGAACGACTTCCTGCCACCGCGCGGTGCGCTCGCCGTTTCGCAGGGCGACACGATCTTGCCCCACGTCTATCGACTGCTCGATGAGGGCGAATGGGCGATCGTTCTAGCGTCGCAAGTGAGCTCGCTAGGTTCATTAGAGGAATGGAACGGGCACTCGTGACACACAGCGGTTTCTGCAGGACTATCACCCGTCTCGACATATCTCCTTCGCCTCGCGATGGCCGGGGGGGAAGCCGTTCACGACTCAGACGACGCAACATCCGCGGACACAACGGCAAATTAGGCAGGAGCTGTGGCCGGACCACTGTGTGCAAGGCACACCGGGCTGTGAACTCGAGCGAGGCGTACAAGAGAGGCTCGATGAGAGGCAACGTTGCGACGGTTCCGATTCCTGCATCATCATACAAAAGGTAAGCGGGATGACCTCTTCCAAGCCGTGAAACCCAACGACTCTGCTGAGTGCCCACGCCCGGTCTTGCCCCGCCAGGGAACCGATGTCGACCTCGACGCGTACTCGGCTTTCGCTGTGCCACTTACGGAGCAGGACGCAGGGTCCGACCCGGCCCATTCCACTCTAGCCCGGCTAATAAATGGTACGGTGTGCGACCACAAACTCGGCCTCCCTCCGCATTAACGCCGAACTTCTGTCTGCAGATGCGGATGTCGAACAAATTGTCGTGGTCGGCCTCGCGCTCGACTTTTGCGTCCGACAAAGCGTGAGCGACGCGGTCAAGGCCCGCAAAGCACTGGGGAAGCAATGGGACATTGTTGTTGTACGCGAAGCGGTCAAAAGCGTCAATCCGGACCAGGAGCGGTCGGTGACTGAAGATCTCCAGGCGCAAGGTGTTCGCTTCCTCGGGGTCCAGGATCTCCTCCCGGCGTAGCACTCGCTGTATCCCCTTTGTTGATGCACATCCCTATACGAAGCCAACATCTCGGTATCTGCGCTTGGCCCCCAGGCCGCGCGATTTATTTGCTCACGCTGCCTTGCGTTACAAGTGGAATCATCGTGTGGATCTTTGCGCAAGGTCCGATAGATAAACAGACCCGCCTGCACACAGATTAATGTCGTCCTGCGCGTCTCCATTGCGGCCGTGATGCCTTTATGCCGAGTCCTCCGAGACGAGCGCGAGCTGAGCAGATTCCGTCAATCAGTACTCGGCAGCGACAGAGACCGGCCATCGAAAGATAGGTCGCTTACAATCATGCGGTACAGGGCGTAGAAGAAGAAGACCAGGCTGTCGAGCGCGAAAGCAGAGGAGACGTTAGCCATGGCGCAACATGCCGATTCCGCGAGCGGAACTTACTAGAATCCAAGCTTGACGAAGGATTCTGGCAAGGCAATCAGGGTCAGTCAAGAGCGATCAAGTGCCCAGCTCCTGTGGGTCTGTGGGCGTGCAGTCTCCCGGTCTCCTCGGCAAACGATAACTTGTACAGGACTTGGGAGGCGCGGCCCACGGACAGAAAATACGGGAGGTGTGCGCATACCTTTCTTGTGTTGACCCAACGTCCGGAAGATTTCCGTGGCGTCAAACATGTGGTTCCGATTCACGACCCTGGCCAAAAAAAAAGTGGGCGAGCAAGATGCCGCAGCCACGAGTGAACATCGAGCGTGTCACGACAACTGATCGCAGCTGAGACGCACTTGTTGACGTTGTAGGCGAGCAGCGGTGCGTTGAGCAGGAAGGCGATGACTTGGAATGTGAGGAGGAAGCAAGCCGTCATGAAGGCGTGCGCGATCATTTCCGGAAGCACAAACTGCGCGGTGAACCGCGCGCGGATCAGAAGTCCGTCCCTCCAAGAGGCCGCCACCTCAGAAGAACCATGGCACGCACCTGGTTGAGCTTGTTGCACAGGTCGATCGGGTTCAGGCTGCGCGACGAAGGGGCGGGATCAGTTTAAAGCGCGCGTCCCGGCCCCTTCGACAGTGATCTCTAGATCCCGGATCGTCCATGCCGATTTGGGTACGGGATGTACGCACTAGTCACACTCCAGATCAGAGAACATGATGATCTGCACGCGATCAGAGTCTCTCGTCAGTAAAGAGTTGCTTCTCTCGCGACGAGGGACGTCGCAGACAGGGGCCGATCACTCACGAAGAAGACGCTCGTGAAGAGCAGGGCAGCCGAGAGGATGACTGCGAAGAGGAAGAGCCACGCTTCGCCGGACTGGATGCAGCGGACGGGGGGCAAACAAGAAGGCGACAGGGTGCAGCGACGGCGGAACGTCAGCGAGATGAGACGCGCGCGGTGAACGTAGCGGGAGGCTGCTGTTTTGAGCCCGAGTCTGCTTCTGGAACGCACCATGATTGCGGGCTTGACAGGGAAGGAAGAGTGATGAGGCGGAGGCTGACGGACGACTCGAGAGCGATTTTGGCGTCAGCGTCATTTCAGACTCGACTCCCCCACCGACCGACTACGTGCTCGCTCGCTAGTACTCGCTATGCACCGGCACGCCCAATCGCAACAACCGCCGCGGGCCGCCCGGCCCTCCCGAGTCGACCGCGTCAAGACCTGCCCCTCTCTCCTCCGCGTCTTTGTCAAGGCTGGCTCGCACCACGCCGACTCCGAGTTCTCCACGAATCAGCTGCCGACAAGGGACGAACATCAAGTCTACACCTGGCGCGACTCGACCGTGCGCGAAATCTTGAACCTCGTGCGGGACGCGGACCCGGCTTTGCGCGCTACCACCCTCCCGCTCGCTCGTTTCTCGGTCAGAGTCGTGTACTGGGACGCGAATGCCGACCGTTACACCTCGCAAGAAGTTGCCGTAGTGCAGAACCGAGACCTCCTGCAGCCTCCCGCCGGCGCGCATCGGCAAGGCCCCTCACCCGGCTCCACCAACCAGCGACTGGATCGCACCCTCGCGGACGCCAAGCTCGTCGTCGGCGATTTCCTCGACATTGCCTACATCGCGCCTGATCCAGTCATTTCCGCCGCGGCGCCGCCCATGGCCGGACCGTCCGCCGGTCTCGTCGGGTCGAGAGCTGGGCCGCCGTCCGTCGCTCCTGGTCACGGGGCGAACGGTCACGTCTTTGGCAGAAGGGACGCCTCAACCTGGGGCGCGAGCGCCGGCGGCCGTCCGCAGCAAGTTCCGAGCGCTGGCGGTGCCCGTGCGCCTCTTCCACGCTCGGGACCGAACCAGTGGGGAGCACCCGGTCAGCGAGGTCCCTCCAGCGGTCCGTCTCGTCATGGCCCTCCACAAGATCAGGGATGGGGCCCCCGTCGGAGCTCAGCCACAGGCGGTCGCTCGTTCGAAGACCGGGATCGTGTACGTCTTTGTCGGAACGAGCGATTCACACGTGTGCCGTCTCTTCGGTGCTGACTCGCTTCTCACCCCGCAGCCTCCTCCACCCCGACGCCGTGGATCGTCGCGATCGCCGTCCCCCATGCGGAATGTCCGGAACGGCTACGACCGGCCGCCGCATCACCGACGCTCGCCCTCGCCAGGTCGGCGATCAGCTTCGCCGCCGCCGCGGCGCAGAGTCGACGACACCGACGTCAGCATGAGGGACTGAGCGACAGCAGTCGGCGGATGCAATACAAAACGCAACCTTCAAGTGTGAAGGAGCAACCGCGCAGCATGGAACGAGCAATTCGCGCTGAAAGGCCACGCTCCCCGCCGCCTTCACCTGAGGAATGAAAACTCCTGTATGTAGGCAAGACTTGGAATCGATGGCGCTTTACAACACACGGTCTGTATATACAAAACTCTAGATCCGGAGACTCACAAGCTCGGTGACGAGCTTGTCCACCGCACTGTCCTGATCCTGTCTGCACATCTCGACGAGCGTCAAGAGACGTTTCACGCCGATGGCGAGCTTGTCCTCGCCGTCGAGTCCTGCCTGGCGCAAGAGCTCCAGCGCCCGTGCGAGCTCGGCGGGGCTGCGGAAGAGTTGGACGTCTGCGAGCACAGCTTCGAGCTGTCGGAGCGTGGTGATGGCCGGCACACGCAGAGTGGTGGCAAACGCGTCCATAGCGTCCATCTCGGTCAACATCGCGCGGTTCGAGGTCGTCGACAAGATGAGGAGGCGGCGGTCCTGCAAGCGCGAGAGGCGAACGTGGGAGTGAGCGTACTGCCTGTACCACAGCATCAACAGGATCGCGTACCTTGGGCGGGCGCTTGTTGAGCAGGACCATGAGCGCCTGGAGCACGCCGTTAGAGAATCGCGGACCGATCGGGACCCAGTCTGCGCCGGAGTGCGCGCATCAGCATCTCGGAATCAGAGCGTCCCCAGAAAAAGCTGCGCGCCACTCACCGAGAATCCGCTCGATGCCGTCCACGACAATGACGCTGAGGGGACTCTTGTAAGAGTCGCTGAACACCTTGTAGAGATGGTTGATCTTTTGCGCTTCGGAGAAGCCGACCATGTTCTCGGCGCTGATGAGCTTGATGAAGGGAAACTCGGACGCGAGCGCGATAGTCGCAGCCAGCGCCGTCTTGCCGGAACCGGGAGGGCCGTGGAGTAGGACCGAGACCAACGGCGTCCGCTGCGAAGTCCGGACTTGTTCGACGAAGAGCTTGCCATCGCGGAGGATGCT